ACCAGATTAATTAGGAAAAAAGAAAAAAAAACAAACACAAATTACCAATATTAGGAATCTGAAAGTTACTGTAGATGCTATAGATTTTAAAAAGATAATAAGGGAGTATCATGAATGATTTTCTGACCATATATTTAGCAGCTGAGATGAAATGCATAAATTACATGCAGTGTACAAACTCCCAAAGCTCCCTCTAAAAGAAATAGATAAAAACTTCACAAATAAAAGTAATTCTAGGTGGCTTCATTGTAAATTTCACCAAGCATTTGAGTAAGAATTAATACCAATTCTATACAAGCTCTTTAACAGGCTAAACTAATTCTCCACTCCTTCTTGTAAACACTCATTATCCTGATACCATGACTAGAAACATATTACAAGAAAATTACCAACCAATATTGCTAAGGAACACAGCTTCAGACATCATCAATGAAATATTAGGAACTCATTCTTACAAAAAAAGATAATACAAAATGACTTCTAGGAATATATTGTCAGTTCAGTGTTAGAAAAACTATTCACTGGAATTCATTTCATAAGGCTAATTCAGAAAACCATATGATCATCTTAAATATAGAAAAAGGATCTGGAATATACATAGCACTCAAGGATAAATGCATCAAAAATGTGCAAGATGTTGAAATTTGCTGCATTTTAGCAACTGAAGTCTGCTGAGTTTTTTTTTTTTTTTTCCTGCATAACCTCTAATTAAATCTATCAGGAAAAAGGAAAGAAGACACAAATTACCAATATTAGGAATCTGAGAGGAAAGTCATTATATGCTATAGATTTTAAAAGGATAATAAGGGAGTATAATGAATAATTTTATGTATATTTACATTTATATTCAGTGTATATACTGAAAGGCCCCAAAGTGCTAACAATAAAGATTTGCTTAAATAGGTATCCTGTTCATAGTTTAGAAGAAGCAGTGTTGCTAAATATCCATTCTCTGAAAATCTTTTGATTCAGTTCAATACTAATCAAAATGCCAGCAGGTTTTTAAATTGGAAATCTAAATATGAGATTTATTTGGGAATATAAACAACAGACTTAGAATAATGAAACAATTTTAAAAAGAACAAAATTGGAGAAGTTACACAGTTTGAATAGAAACCCATAGTAGAGCTGTAGTAATCAAGACAGCTTGATATTGTCATAAAGATAGGCATATGTATCAATGGAGCAGAATAGACTTTAGAAATGGACTCAGTTCTTCCTATTTTTTTCCTTCTTCCCTACCTCCCTCTCTTCCTTCATTTTTGTACTGGGGATTGCACCCAGGGCCTTGTGCATGCTAAGTACGTGCTCTACCAATGAGCTACACCCCATTCTGGTCACTTAATTCTTAATTGTCAAGGTTAATTCAGTAAGGGAAAAGAAAAACTTTTCAACAGTGGTCCTGAAATAATCATATATCTATATGCAATAAAATAAATTGTGACCATATCTTGTTTGGAAAATAGCTAGAAATGGATCAAAGACTTACATATAAGAACCAAAGCTATATAACTTATAGAAGAAACAGAATAAAACCTTGGTATCCTTGCTCTGGATATAAAAGCATAAGACATAAAAAGAAAATGAGATAAATTGAGGTTTTCAAAAATTAAAAACATTGCTAAGAAAATGAAAGGATCAGCTTTGGGTTGAAAGAAAATATTTTTAAAGCACCATCTGATACAGAACATTTTAAGAACAGTTATAACTCAGTGATATGAAAACAATCCAATTAAAATTAGAGAAGAGGTATGGATAGCAAATGAGAACATGTAAAAATTCTCATTGTCATTAGGAGTTAGGGAAATGTATTTTTTTTAAGTTTTTTTTATTTTGAGACAGGGTCTTGCTAAATTCTGGAGACTGGCTTTGAACTTATGATCCTCCTGCCTCAGTCCCCAGAGTCACTGGGATTACAGGCATGCACCATCACACTGGCTTCAGGAGTTGACTTCATAAAGACATGCAGGGTGATGGAAATACTTACATCATGATTATTGTGACCATATAAGTATACATTTGCCAAAGTCCATTTATATACTTAAAAGTAGTGAATTTTTGGTAAATCTTTTTTTTTCAGAATAATTTTAAAAGCAGACACACTGAAGAAAAAAAAATATTAAGTGATGCACAGAAGTTAAAGATGAAGAATGGACAAAGATAAATTAGGAACATGAGCAAATGTCTTTGGGCCATTTCAAATTCAGTCACAACCAGATCCATGAAGCTATTAAATTCCACAAAGCAGACATCTGTTACTGTACTACAACAAAACTAGAAATTAATAACACAAGTTTATAATTTATAAATAACTTATTCCATAAAATTATAAGGGGGGAAAAGGAAATCAAAACCACAAGAAATAAAGTGTTTAAAAAATAATGAAAATATAATTATTATCCTTTGAAATGTATAGGATGTTACCAGAGCTGGGAATTATATTTATTGTACTATTTAAAAAAGAACTGAACAAAGAAAAAGATCAATGACAGATACAAAGTCATATAAAATTAATATTATTTGTACAAAGGCTGATGGATCAGAGTGAATTAAAGTATTAAAAAAAAACAAGCCTCATCTTATTAGTTTTCCCAAAGTTTCATTTAAAAAATTTTTTGAGACCACAAAATATTTCTTGTGTGTCTAATTCTTGATTATGTCTTTTTACAACTATTTCCTTTAGGAGTATTCTCACAATCTGTGCAATATTGGTGCTACATTTCTAGTATTCACTGAAAAAGTAGAAAGAAAGATATCTATATGGCCCATTTTAACATAATGGAAATTCAGTGTTATTGAAGTATGACTATATTCATAGAAAGAAACCAAAGAGAAGTTTCTGAAAAGATCAGCAATCTTTTTCTTTGTGGAAGGCAATCAAGGATGAACTTTAGGTTTCTAATTTTGAGGGGTTATTTTGTTGTTGTTTTTAAAAAATTGTTATTGTTTAAAGCATATATCACTTCTAAAACAGAATATTTGAAAATTGATTTCTTAAAAGAGAGGCTTTTTTTTTTTTTTTGGTATTGGGGGAGTGAATCCAGGGGTGCTCAACCATTGAGCCCCATTCCCAGCCCTTTTTTGTATTTTATTTAGAGGCAGAATCTCACTGAGTTACTTAGGGCCTTGCTAAGTTGCTGAAGCTGGCTTTGAACTCGGGATCCTTCTAAGGGAAGCAATTTTTATTAGCTCTGATTATGGAAGATTTTTTAAAAAGTTATGGCTTCGTAATTTATCATTAAATATAGACAGAATTAGGAAAATACTTTAAGTGAGCAATCTTTCCTCTGCCTTTTTTTTTTTGTTTTTAACATAGTCTAGTTGTGCAGTTTGTGGGGTGTACCTACCTGAAGCATGCTACCCTTTCTTTCTATGTTGAATATGTATTGAGCTACTTTATGTTTGGTGTTCTTTCAGCATTTTTATCTCCTTTTCATATGTAATCAATGTTTTCTAACTGCTTTTAAACATGGAGAATTTTAAAAATTGGGCCTCAGTATTCAGTAGTAAGCATAGCCATTTTTTAGAGAGTTCTTAGTTGTGATTTTAGCTTTTGTCCATTCTGATTTTCATTGCATCTATTAAGTTTTTATTTCTGTCACTCAGAATTTTATTTCTAATATTTATGGTTCACCCAACATTCTTTTGTATTTCTTTAATATGATGCCTATTTTAAATTCTTACTAGTTTATACTATTTATATTCCTTTGGTATTCATTTTTCTCTTTCATTGGATTTCATGGCTCACCTTAATTATACTGCTTTCCTTTAGTGTCTGTTAGTTTTTAGTTGTCTGGTTGTCTTTATGTTGAGAATCTTTCCTCTGCCTGTTTTTTGTTTTTAACATAGTCTGCTTTTGCTGTTTGTGGGGTGTGCCTACCTGAAGCATGCTACCCTTTCTTTTTATGCTCAACTGCTTAATCCTCTGGGTGAGCTACCACAAGAGTTGTCCATTCCAGCTCCTCAATAATAGGTTGTCCTCAGGCATATTTGCTGCTTCTTAGGAATAGCTGATTCTGATTCTTAATTGCTTCTCCAGAACCACCTGTATGTGAGGAAGTCTTTCCCTATCAATTGTGTTTTTTTCTCTGATGGTTTCTTAATAGATCTAATCTTGCCTACTTAAATCCTTGGAGAATTTCTCAAAATACTTGTTTTACAATTAGTAACATTCGTTTATGATTTTCAGCCTCTTTTTTCCTATTAAAATAATATCTCATTTCAAATAATATTTTATTGGAGAAAGAAGTATAGCTGTATGCTTAGTTTGACATTTGATTTAACTTGATATTTAACATTTAGCAGTGTTTTAGTTATACAGTTGGACTCATTACAGGGTAATCTTAGAGCTAAAGACTTTGGTTTTCGAGTATAATTATGGAGCAAGAAAAATGACCCATGTGTGTTTTCTCTTGGGGAACTAGAAATGTTTTACCCACAGTGACTCTTTTAGTAGTTTCTGATCTCCTAATTAGATTAGAGTTTGGATCATTTTTCAAGTGAGGAAAACAGCATTTAAAATTTGAGCAATTAATTCATTTCTGAAAAGTCCTTAAGGACTTTTCCCCATGTTAATTAACTAACTCATTTAATCTCCAGTTACTTTTAGAGATTACTAGTCTAATTCTGGAACATAAACTGGGAGAATGCTCATCAAAGGCTCTACAATATTATCACTCTGTCTCAGCAGAAGATAATCTTCCTAATATTCAACATTGTTGAACATTAGTCATTGTTTTTATCTATATAAACTTCAACTGTCCTTAGCTAAAGCTTTGTTGTTGTGTCTTATTCCCTAGCTTGGCACTGTTAAAAGCGGTCTTCAGAATATTAAAGAAACCAAAAGTGATGATGTAAGTTGTATTAACACTAATAACCCAGACAAGAGCATGCGAGTCACTAAAAACAAACTAAAGAATACACATTCAGCAGCTGAAGATTCAAATGATGATGTCAGTGTAGAGGAAGACAAGCAAGGAAAGCCAAGTAAAAAGATTACAAAGACCACACAAGAAATGGAACCAGAAACTTCTGAGAAGGTAGATTTTGCACATCAGAAAATGAGAACAAAGTCATTGTCCAGTGTTGATCATCAAAAAAGTGATAAGACAAAGGAAGGAAAAGAAAATAATAATTTAGAAGGAGAAGAAGAACTCATGCAAGCATACCAGCTCCAGGTAGCTGAAGAAATGGCAAAGGAAATTAAGAAGAAAATAAGGAAGAAACTGAAAGAACAGTTAACTTACTTTCCCTCAGATACTTTATTGCATGATGACAAATTGAGCAGTGAAAAAAAGAAAAAGAAGAAAAAGAGAGTTCCAGCCATGTCTAAAGCTGAAACAAGGTACTTTACATAGAATCATATTTTTTTAATATATTCTTATTTTCAGCTCTTGCATGACATCTGTAGTTTAATAAAATTCTTGATCTTTCATTTGGAGACACTGCCACTAGGAGAACAGCAGCTGACCTTATGCAGCACCTTAACTTTGTGCTAGGAGCTTTATGAAAATTAACTCATTTATTCCTTATTACATCCCAATGAAGAAAAGTAATATCATTCTGTTTTTCTAATGAGGAAACTAAAAGGTTTAAGTCACAGAGGCTGAGCCAGATCTTGGCAGCTTAACTCCAAAGTTTCTATCTTTACCACATACTTCTCTTTATAAATAATAGAAACCTAATTGCTTCCCCCTTTTTGAGTTATAAATGCCCATTTGGACATGAATATAACTTTCCTTATTATACAAATAACATTTTCTCATTGTAGAACAATCATTCAAAGATAATCACTGTTGGCAATTTGGTATTTAGTCTTTATATATCAGTCTTTCTATATATATATATATATATATATATATATACATACACACACACACGCATACACATACATATATACATATACATATATATGTATATATATAATGACTATACATATATGCTTGTGTATATCATTTGGGTTTCTGTGAGTATATTTATATTTATAGGTTCTCTCTTTAGAGAAAACAGTGAGATTTAAAAAATGCCTTTTACCTGCCATAATTTTTTTCTGCAGTCATCTAGAAGCAACTTCAGGTGGGAACATTCTGTAGATGACTATTCCTTGGCATTCCACGGCATTTTCCTCTAAAGCCCTCAGCTAAAAGTAATTCCCCTCTTATCATCACAAGTTAATGGACCAGTGGTAACAAAGAGAAGGACAGTCAGTTTGCTAAAGGGATATGTTAGTATATATATTATATATATACTACAACAGTTACCTGTTGCTGCATTAAAAAATTACCCTAGAACATAGCAGTTTAGAACAACAAACACTTATTGTCTCTCAGTTTATGTGGTTTCAGGAGCCTGGAAATAACTTCACTGGTTGCCCCTGAGTCTCACAGGGTCTGTCACAGGCAGGAGTCAGGATGTTAGCTGGGCCTAAAGCTACTGCTAGTCTTGATGGGGACAATCTGCCAGTGGACATAGCCATTAGAAGGCCTCAGAAGATCTGCTTCTAAGATCAGTCATACGGATGTTGGCAGATTTCAGGTCCTGACTGGCTTTCAGCCAGACATCATTGCCCTGCCACGTGAACCTCTCCATGTTTGCTACTCACAATGTGGCCATTTGCTTCCCCAGAGCAAGGGATCCAAGGGAGTGAGAGCAAGACAGAAGTCACAGTCTGTTTGTAGTATTGGGTGACTCCACTACTTCTCACACTTAAAGAGAAGGGGGTTATACAAAGAAATGATTATGAAGACACAGGAATCATAAAGGCTGCTAAAAATACTGTAAATACAGTATTTTTAGAATTTTCCTTTTTTTCATAGCTTTTTTGATGTAGAGCTAGAAAGCCATTCTTACTATAAAGTAGAACTGTTTCACAAATTTTAATTAAAACCATGTCTTACATGACGATAGTATGCAAAGGGTAGCTATTATCCTTAAATAGTTGCAAACAAACTTTCATAGGCCAGCTTCTCTAAACTTGGTATACTTCTTGGCTGCTCTCTCTTATCATTTATTGGTTTATATGATGCAGATTTTTATTTTAATGATAGCCTTCTGAAAATATAGTCACACTGGAAAACACACAGAATTAGTTTTTACCTAGAAACCAAAAGTTATTTATCTGAAACCTCTTGAAAACAGAACAGACTTATAATAATTTTTTTTTTTTGCCTTTACACGAAGTGATTTAGAAGTTCATTAATTATTTACTTGGCATCAGTGGTCCTATGTAAGACAGGTCTGTTGCTCATAAAAGATTATTTCATTTTTTTCCCCTGGGGTTTAGAGCTTGATGTGTTGACCCTTGGGGTATATAATTCCTCACCAAGCATAAAATAGTCCCTATAATACCTAGTTTGATGTCTGATTGTTATATAAGAAAATACATGCATCTTCCAGCAGAAGACAACAATTTTAATATTATCCTTGCTTCTGTTTACCATTCACTCTGTTCTACAATGAATAATGATTATTATAATATTAATATATTTGTAATTTCTTGTATTTGGTTTATATTTGCAGCACATTGAACATCTCTGATGACACAGTTGAAGATGAACAAAAGAAGTACTCGCCAGTTGGAAACATTACTTCAGATTCTCATCAAGATGATGAAATAAGCTCAGTGGAACAAAATGCAGATGATAATATGCCAGATAACACAAAATCCAAACCAAAAAAGACAAAAAAGAAGACTAAAGCAGGTTTGTTACACTAATTAAATGAAAAATGGTGTGCTTTTGACTCTAGGAATTTTAATTCTTAAAATTAAGCCTAAAGATATAGTTTAAAATAATCACATGTATAATATTTGGTACTTGTTCTGGATTCATCTTGATTAAAAGCATTCATTTGTAATTATAGGTTGCTGTGATGGGTTTGTAGTACTTGAGTCATTTTGAGTTCTTAATTTAATTAACTCTAGAATAATACAGACGTTGTCATTACTTTTGTGGCATAAGAATTTCTTCTTTAAACCATTGAGTTTAGAGTCCCTAAGTGGTTAAGACTCTGTTGTGAAAGATAGAAATGGTCAACAGTCAAAAAATATTTCAGATATTCAGGTTGTGTCCCTGTATTAAACATGGTGTCCACCTGGTTCCTCACCTAATTCAACTGCTCTCTCCTCTTCCAAATTCCCTTCCCACTCTTGCTTTCTGTCTCTACATTTTCTGATTTTTTTTCCTTTTTCTTTGTATATTCTTGCCCTTTTCCTACCTGTTATTCTATTTTCTCCCCAATCCCATGTAATTGGTAAAACGTTGGGACAAAGATAGACAATTTTAGAATTTATGGTTTTTTAGTCATTAGAGGATACCATTGATGTTTTCTGATTCTAGTAGTTAAATTAAAACACTTGTCGAAGCACAATATACATACAGAAAAGTATATGTATCACAGTGTACTTCTTAGTGAATTTTCACATACTGAACTTACCTATAAACTCGTTGTCTAAATCAAAAAACAGATCGTTATTAGTCCTCAGACACCCTCCTCAGGCCCCCTTTCACTTTATTGCTCTGCAGAGATAACCACTACCCTGTTTGCTAACAGATCATTTTTGCACATTGATACAAATAGAATTATAAACGTGCTTTTTGTGCCTGACTTCTTAACTCAGTGTTATTTTTGTAAATTAAACCAGCAGTAAAGACAGTTGACCTTATACATTCTCAGTTCTTGATTTTGTACAGTATAGATTTCCATTGTGTAAATATACCACAGTTAACTTACCTAACCTATTGATGGTTATTTGAGTTGTTTTTGGTTTTAGGCAATTACAAGTAAAGCTGAAAGGAACATTCTGTTCACATCTGTTGTGAGCATATATATATACATTTTTGTTGAGCACAGTCTTGGAGTTGCTGTGCTTTTATGTAGTAGTTTATGTATATTGTTGCTCTAATCATTACTTCCTATTTTCCTTGCTTGGTTTACCAATAGACACTAGCAGTGTTTGAGAGTTCTAGTTGCTCCACATCTTCACCAACATGTACCTGGTGTCTACCTGGTTAGACCTCTGAATTTTTAATCATTCTTAGGGATATATAATAATATATATCCCAATTAACCTTGACCTTAGCCTGATCCCAATTAAAACTAGTAATGTTGATTCTTTTCATGTTTATTAACTACTTGGATTTCACATTTATAAATTTGTTCAAGTCTTCTATGCATTTTAAAACAAAATAATTGTTGTCTTCTGATTGATCTGTGACACTATTTTGTATACCTAGATATGAGTCTTTTCTCAGATATAAATATACACAAATAGTTGCAAATATGTTCCCACTCTAGGCTTCATTATTTCTTATTAGTAATTTTTGAAAAATAAATTTTTATATTACCCAGTTTCCCTAATTTTTTTCTTTGATGGTTAAGAGCTGTCTGTGATTTGTTTAAGAAATCTTCCCTAAGTCCTGAAAATGTTTTGCTAAAAGTTTTACTGTTTGACTTTTCATGCTTAGGATTATAGTTCATCTGGAATTGATTTTGTGTATGATTTTTTGGGGACGAAAATAGACAATTTTAGAATTTATGGTTTTTAGTCATTTGAGGATACCATTGATATTTTCTGATTCTAGTAGTTAAAAACAAGTGTTTTTTAAATTTAATTTAATTTAATACAAGTGTTTTTAAATGTAATTACTAGATCAAGACATTTTAAACACTTGTTTTTTAATTTAACTACTAGATCAAGACTTTTTTTTCACGTGAGTATATAATTGACATAGTAATTATTTACTGAAGCCTATCTTTTTCTCTTTATAGTGCAGTGTTAATTTTATGATAAATAACAAGAACATGTTAAATGTGGATCTGTTTTTATAGCCTCTACTCAGTCACATAGTTGGTTTGTATAAAAAATACCTTAATTACTATAACTTTATAATAGGTCATGATATTTAGTAGTGTACTACAGATTTTTTTCTTCTTCAGTATTATCTGTACTATTCTTTACTCTTTGCATTTCCATGTGAATTTTACAAGTGATGTCTCAATTTCCCTCCTCCTATCCACCTTAATCCTGCCAACCAAGCTCAGTTTTGATCTAAACTGGATAAATCTAAAAGATTCACAATATACCAACTCTCTGAGTAGACTTGGCATTTTTAGAAATATTTATCTTGAAATCTATGAATTTGGCATGCATTTCCATGTATTTGTATCTTATAAAATTTATCTTGATAAAATTATAAATTTTGGCAGTCTTTCTGTAGATTTATTCCTAGTATTTGATATTACTTAATAATACTGTAAAAGGCATTTTTTAAAAAATTATGTTTCTTATTCATTTGTTTCTATTCATATGTACTTAAATTTTAAACATAGTACCCAGTAATCTTGCTAAATTTATTTATTACTTCTAACAGTTTATTCTTAGATTATTTTGAATTTTTTGCATGTATGATCATTAATATGTTAGTAATGGTAGTTTTATTGTTGCTTTCTCAGTTATTGTATCTTATTCTTTTTTTTTTTCTTCTTCTTCTCAGTGCATTGGCTAGGACTTCTATTATAATCTTAAACAGAAGTGGCAAAAACAAGTATTCTTTTTTTTTTTTTTTTTTTAACCAGCCTTGACAGAAAACTCTTTCACCATTGAGTATGATGTTTGCTGTGAATTATCTGTAAATACCCTTTATCAGATTAAGGAAGTTACTTCTGCTTTGCAAAGTCTTTTATTTTTCTTTATCATGAATTGATTTTGAATTTTGTCAGGTACATATGTGATCATCTTATCAACATGACCATATAAATTTCACCTTTTTTTGTATAAGTGTGGTTAACTGTTATTTAAATATTAAGCCATCTTTGTGTTCCTGGGAGGGTTGAAGGTACCTACTCGGTTGTGATGGATTTTCTTTTTTTTTTCCCTCCAAATCTCTTTTTTGATTTGGCTTGCCATTACTTTGTATTTTTATATCTGTGGTGGTGAGATTGGTTGTACTTTTCCTTTCTTAAAATGCCCTGAATTTAGACATAAAAGTTTTGGTTGTCTTAGAAGAATTGGGAAATGCTTCATCTTTTTCAGTTTTTGGAGAAAATATCTAAATATTTAGAAGAATTTACTGATAAAATATCTTCTAAATATTTAGAAGAATTTATTGATAAAATATTTTAGACTAAAGGTTTTCTTTATAGGAAGAATTTTAATCAGATTTAGTTTCTTTGCTACATATCAGAGTCTTCACATTTTCTATTTCTTCTGGCAACTTTGTTAGGATATATTTTTTAAGGAATATGTCCACTTAATTCAAATTTTCAAGTTTTGAATGTATATAGCATATAGAAGGTTGTACCATTTTTTTTTCATTCATAATATTGTTGTTTGTTTTTTTCTCAGTTTTTGATCCACTCAAGGATTTTGGGTCTGAGTCTTCAAAGACTCAGCCTGTAGCTTTGATATTTTTTTATTGTACATTTGTATACTATTTTTTCTTCTATTTGTATAATTTGTACTCTCTTTGGGTTTGATTTGCTGTTTACTTCTAGCTTCATAAGATGAATTTTATAAGAAAGATTTTAGTCTATCTTTTATAGGCATGTAAGACTTCAAATTTCTACCTAAGTATTGCCTTAAGCTGTGTCCCTAAAATTTTTTGACATTCTGCATCTTTATTATCATTCAACCAAACAAAATTTTTATATTTTTATTTTAATTTATTTGGTTATATATTATTTAGAAGTCTGTTGTTCAATTTTGAGCAGCAATTGATTTTTTAGTTATCTTTTTATTATGGGTTTCTATCATCCATTGAAAATTGACCAAACCTAGGCTTTCCTCTTTGCCTGCCTGTTTTGTTTCAGACCTTTTCCCCTAGTGTGATATGTTCTGCTAGCACCACCTAGCCACCAGAAGATTTCACTACCTCTCCACCCTCCCAGAATTCAATTTGTGAGGCAAATTGGCCATGTGCTTAAGGCTTCTCCGTTTTCCAGTTTTATCGCTTTATTCACAGGAAACCACTGAAAACTTTGCTGGTGAACTTCTTTCTGCTTGGACCAAATCTTGATTCTCAGCCCACACCCTGAATCAGCAAATATTCCAGAGACAAAAGCAGCTGCCATTCTGTCTGTTTACCTCTGACTGAGTCAGTCTTGGCCGCGCCCCCCCGCCCCCACATACCCACTCTCTCTCTTAAAATAAGATTTTTGCAATTGTTTGTGTTGTTTTTTTTTTTTTCTGAAGCACTGACTTGCTGCATCCTACTACATTCTACCCAAAAGCAGAAATTCCAGTTATAAATTATTTGAATGAAATATATTACACAAAGAAAATAGATAAAATTATGTTTCGACTCATTTTTTCTTATTGGTGCTTGTTGGGAAAAAACATTACTCACCCTGCTATAATATAATGCATTAGTAAATATATTTTACTCTATGTGTGCTCTACTGCTCTCTGGCCTTTACTTCTTTTCCCTTGAAGTTCCTTTGTTAACCATGTGAAATAATCATAGATCATAAGGTTTAAATCATATGTAAATTCAAATATGAGGCTAGTTAATTATAATATTGATTTTCTTCTATACATGTAGTTTCAGATGATAATGAAGACATTGATGGTGATGGTGTTCATGAAATAACAAGCCGTGATAGTCCAGTTTATCCCAAATGCTTGCTTGATGATGACCTTGTCTTGGGAGTTTACATTCACCGAACTGATCGACTTAAATCAGATTTTATGATTTCTCACCCAATGGTAAAAATTCATGTGGTTGACGAGAACACTGGTCAATATGTCAAGAAAGACGATAGGTAATTTTTTTAATAACGCAGCTAATCCTTGACATTGAAACTGTCTGCAGTAGAAGTTGGTATTGTCAGTGGAAATAGAGTTATGAATTTATGTAAGAGAATAGTCGACTAGTTCTAGGTGTTCATCTACCATCTAACTGATCAATGTTTTCGCAAAAGAACTGGAGAACATTTGTTCATTTCAAGTAAAAGAGGTTCTCCCAAGCTACTTAATGCTACAAAACTTTGAAAATCATCTTATATTACATGTAAATGTTCTAGTTGTGTAACTCAATTTTTTTTCAAATTAACATGTTACCTGTCATTTGCCTTCAGTGAGGTAAATGAATCTTGAATTTTTTGTCTAAGATCATTGCTATTGGCAATACATACTTGAGGGCCAAGTAAAAGAACAAGGTAAATAAAATAGATGATGATACTAGCATTCAAAAAATTAGTTTTTCAGAAATATGGCAGAGGCGGAAAACATGAAAATTGTCAAAAAAAAAAAGGGCTTTCATTTATTCAGTTGTAAAGAAAATGTGATAGCTCCAAAAATTGTGCTTTTTTTTTTTTTTTTTAATGTACCCAGGATTGAACCCAGGGGCACTGAACCACTGAGCCACATCCCCAGCCCAATTTTGTATTTTATTTAGAGACAAGGTCTTACGGAGTTGCTTAGCACCTTGCTTTTGCTGAGGCTGGCTTTGAAATCATCAGCCTCCTGAGCCACTGGGATTATAGGCATGCATCACCACTCCCGGCCCTGTTCCTTTTTTATATTAACTTATTGTGCTATCTTATCATAAATTTGTTTAAAATTCTGAAGCAATTGCTTTATTTCCACTGTATAATGAAGGTATAATTATGTCTCACTTTATGTTCCTATAATTCTGTGAAAACTGATGGTATATAAATGCAAAATAGTAAGGCACTATTTTACTTTAAAGTTTTATGAATTTATAATTTTCTAGATGGACTATGAAAATAATTTTTCCTTTTGTATTATGATTTATTATTTCTGGTTGTGTATCATAATTTTTTCTCATCTAAAAATTAGAATTTTGTTGACAGAAATGTCTTTCTTTGAACAGTGAACGACCCGTGTCATCTTACTATGAAAAAGAGAATGTGGATTATATTCTTCCTATTATGACTCAGCCTTATGATTTTAAACAGTTAAAATCAAGACTTCCAGAATGGGAAGAACAAATTATATTTAATGAAAATTTTCCCTCTTTGCTTCGAGAGTTTGATGAGAGTCCTAAAGTCATCTTGTTCTTTGAGGTATGAATTGGATTAAACAATTCAAACTAAATTTTAGTTTATATTTAATTGTGCAAACATAAGTTGTTAAATGTAAGTGGTAAGTAGTTCAATAATTCAACAAAGTAGTGTGCAGTATGCTGTGAAGGTACAGATAAGACACCCCTTTTAAAACAGTGATAGTTTTCAGTGCCAGAAGTTAGCCATTTGACCTATGCTGTGACATCATTTAATCCTTACAGCAGCATCATGACTGTTAATTAAAGTGATAAATCTTATCTGTATGAGTGCAGTCCTCCATTTACATAGTATAAGCTTATTTAACTGAATATCAGACTCCATAAGAATATGTGTGCCACCTGGATAAAAAAAAAAAAAAGAAAGAAACATACATAGATCAGTTAACTAATACAATGTCATATATAACCAAAAATGATGAAGAACTTATTAGATGTGAAGTGAAGGGTCAGAGTAGTCAGAGAAAGATTTATAAAAAGATAGTCTTTGAGCGGATTTGTAATTATAAGTTTTCCCTTTTTTTTCCCCCCCCCCACTGAAAAGGATATCAAGGTTTGGGGTAGAGTGATTTCCTTTAAGTTACTCCAATTTTTAAGTTAGGTAATTTATATTTGATGATAATTTCAACCTTGAATACCACATTTCATTTCTCTATTTTATGTTCTCTCTCTGCTAGCAAAGTGAAACAGAGAAAGCCTCCTTTCCAGTTTAACCAAACTGGAAAATTTTAGTATAGGAACAAGATGCCTGGCATGACTGGAGCTGATGTTTCATTTTGTAAAATGGCTTATTTTTATGATCCTTGACTTTCAGATTATTTATGTTTGTTTATAATACAAATATTCTATCATTTCATCTATGTTTATGTTATGTGTGATGTATATAAAGTTTCTAATTTTTTAAAAAGAATTTTTTCTTTTTAAATTTGTATCTCAAAGGAATTTTTTTCTTTGTCCTAGAAACTTGTGATTTGGGGGTAACCCGTAACGGGGTCCTCTTTAGCCCCTGCAAGAGTCCTGTTTCTATACTTCACACTTGAATAAATCCTACTCCTTTAAAAAAAAGAAGAAGAAAAAGAAAGAAACTAGTCATTGTGATTTATTATATGTCATTTTACAATCACTTAATTATTAAGAGGTATAAGAATGATAGATTATTGGATTATCAATTTTGGTTACTTAAGTTTTACCACAGTGTGTTTCCTGCCTGCTGATTTCAATTTTTGAAGAGTTTATTGAGGAAAATTTTATAATATTTATCAGAAGTCTTTAAAACTGTTATTCTACTCCAAGATGTTTATCCTAAAAGGAAAGTAACATGTGTACAAAGATGTATATGCAAATATTTATTTCATCTCTGTTTATGGCAAAAACTTGAGAGACATTAAGGAACCTAATTTCAATCAGTAACAGATTTGATTGAATAAATTATGGCTTTTATTACATTTATGTTGTTTTATAATACAGAATTTTAGGTAGACTAGTCTAGGCAGCCATTAACATGATGATATTCATAGGCTGTAATGATATGGAGATATGGCCACCATATACTATATGAAATAGTTTGCAAAAGACCGTGGTATTTGTAGTCACATGCTTACACTATATTTAGAAATGCACAGAAAAAGGTTTACATTTGTATAAGCCAAATGCTAATGGTAGTTATCTATAGGTCTAGATTACAAATTGTTTTACTTTGTTTCTGTATCTTTCTGTATTGTCAGTGCTTTTTCACTGGACATGTATTATATCTGAAAAAAGATTTAAGAATCTAAAGAAGAGGGATGGATGAAATCCATATTAATGTTTAAGCAGTCTTCTATAAAGTTTTAATATCTCAACTGATCTTTTGATAACCATGAATGCAAAGCAATAGCCTCTAACATGTACCTAGAATACAATCTCTGTGGCAGCTTGATAGCAAATCCCTGAGATTTAATATATGGATAAGATGAAGGTATGAAAGAAATCTCTTGAGAAGCCTAATTACAATATGTATCCAAAGAGAAAGCCCCCAACTTCAGGAAGGTGATCCAAGCAAGGACTCAGAAAAAATGTCCTGAGTTTTTAAAATAATGAACCCTTTGAAGTCTGCTCTGATACATATTAAATGATAAAGCTTAAGAATTTTATGCCTGGTGCATTTGTGCCTAGACTGCACTTAAGTAATTATTTAAAATATATCTTTTACATTTAGGTGACACATTATAATTATACATATTTATGGGTTACATTGGCATTCCCATAAATGCATACAATGTATGATGATCAGGGCAGTGTAGTTGGCATAGCCGTAATATTTGAGGTAATTAACTCTTTGCCTTAGGTTTAAAATAAATCCTAATAAAAGATTTACTAATAAGAGATAAGAGATAAAGTGGCCAAAAAATGAACCCTCAATAGTGGAGTTAACTCAAAGGTGAATGAAATGAGATAAAAATGATTTTACTCTATATAAAGAACACATTTTTAAATATTCAAATGATTTTTAAAAAATTTTTAACAATATGGGGCTGGGGATGTGGCTCAAGCGGTAGCCTGGCATGCGTGTGGCCTGGGTTCAATCCTCAGCACCACATACAAAGATGTCGTGTCCACCGAAAACTAAAAAATAAATATTAAAATTCTCTCTCTCTTTAAAAAAAAAATTTTTTTAACAATATATTAGGCTGGGGTTGTGGCTCAGTGGTAGAGCACTTGCTTAGCATGGGTGAGGCAACTGGGTTCAATTCTTAGCATCATACACAAATAAATAAAACAAAGGTCCATCAACAACTAAAATTTTTTTTAATTTTTAACAATATTTTATTAGAAAATATTAAATTTTAGATAGTCTAGTATTCTATGAAGTAATTTTTGGAATTTACTTGCAGATTGTTGATTTTTTAAGCATGGATGAAATTAAGAATAACTCTGAGGTTCAAAACCAAGAATGTGGCTTTCGGAAAATTGCCTGGGCATTTCTTAAGGTATGTTTTTCATTCATTTTAAACACATTTCAAATTATCTCCAGATTTGGTTGCTTTTCCCTAGACAGTTTAGTCTCATATAAGGAGTTAGAACTTAAAGGAAGATTGCATCATGAAAGTGATGTTAACACAAACTTGGAGAGACTTGTTAAGAGTCTTAAATATTTACTGATTGCCTATCCTGTACCACTTCCACTTTTTGGTCCTGGGGATGCAGCACTAAGTAAGATATATATGACCCTGCCAATTTTATTCAATTCAACAGATATTCAGTAAGCCATTTCTATGTGCTGGCCACTGTTTTAGTTAGTAGACTTAAAGAAGACAAATTTGTTGACCTCATATTCTAATAAGAAAAACAAGCATAAAATAACTAAATATATAATCATTAATTTTTGTAAATACTGTGAAGAGTTATGGGTTGGATTATGAAGCAAGTGTCCTGTGGGATCAGGAAAACTTTCCTAAGGAAGCACTACCTAGGTGGGAGCAGTGGAGTGGAGAGTTCTAGGAAAGGGATACAGTGTATACAAAAAATCCAGTTATTATAAGTAGCAAGATCTATTCAGATAACAACAACAAAAAAAAGGCTGCTAAGATTGGAGAGTAGAGACTGAAAGAATGGTGCATAAAGAGGTTACTGAGGTCAACAGCGTCTTGATTACATAGGACTTTCAAGCCATGATAAAATTTTTAAAAAGTAATAGGAAGTCATTACAGGATTTAAACAAAAGGATAAAACAATCTGAACCATGTTTTGGAAAGATTACTTTGATCAATGTGAAGAATGGAGTAGAATGGGAGCAGTTGTATATCCTTGAAGATCCACGTACGAAATTCTTGCAGTAGTCTGATGTCCTACTTTTGATTTCATCTTAAATTCACTTCTCTTGGACCCACTTTCATTATCTGTCCTTCAGATTTGTAAATGCAGTTACTTACTGGACATTTTAATTCAAATGACCTATAGATATCTCAGACTCCCCCAGAGTGAACAAACATCCTAACTAATCTCTTACCCATTTTCTCTCTTCTTTTTTCAGTTGGTAGTACTGCCATCTTCCCAGGCTCCCAGTTACACTGTCCATTTTGGTAGCTGCAAGCCACTTGTTACTAGATAAGTTTAGATTAATTAAAATTAAATATAACTATGAATTTGGTTCTACAGCCCCTTGTGTTTTGTAGCCCCATGTGACTAGTGAGTTCTGTTCTAGAAAGCACAGGTGTAGAGCACTTCCACCATCATAGAAAGTTCTGTTGGACAGTACTCCCTTGGAGTCTTTCTTGACTCTTTTAATGTTTCAAGTTATCAGTCAGTAAATGTTATTAAATATGTCTTCTGCACTCACTGACTACTCTTCTTTTGGTTTAAGTCACCTTCATACTGTGCCCAAGCTAATGTAAATTCTCACAACTATCACTCTATTCCTAATTTGTACAGGACACAAAGATTAAAAAGATGTTTCCTAAGGCTTGGGATATAGTTCATGGTAGAGCACTTGCCTAGCATGTGTGAAGCCCTGGTTTTAATCCTTAGCATTGCAAAGAAATAATTGATTTCCTATTTAGAATTGTGTTCTATTGAAAGAGTTGGTGAGATTTTTGAATTTTTCTAATAAGAATCTTTACTTAATTCATTTTGTTTAGTAGCTTTCTTTAAAAAGACCATTTTAAGAAGATGAACTAAAATATTGGGAAAATACAATGATTTGTTTGAATTAGTTTAAGTATCTTGATGATGTTGACTTTTAAAAAACATAATAATTTAACCATTAAAAATAGTAATAATGAATAAATGGGAAATTGTTTCTGTTTAATATGTATTTTAATCTTTATTATTAACAAATATGTATTGATCACTCCTTTGTGCAGAGTGGCATCAAGTTCAGTAATGTAAATGCTTTGTATTCTGAAGTGGTTGTACAGATAAAAAGGGGGCTATTGAAAAAATATTTTACCTGTCATTTGATTTACCTTTTTTCAAAAATAATCTGAATCTGTACTTAACTAACTATGTCAATGTTCTTTCCTTTGCTTTATAAATCCAAGAAATTTCAGCATGCCACATTGATCATTTATAAAAAGAGTTTCTGACTACATATTATTGCTTTATTGTATTATTTATTTTCTGTGAAAGTAATATTTTATATGAATTCTTTTAAGCTACTGGGAGCCAATGGAAATGCAAATATCAATTCAAAACTTCGCTTGCAACTGTACTACCCACCTACTAAACCTCGATCCCAATTAAATGTTGTTGAGGTTTTTGAATGGTGGTCCAAATGTCCAAGAAATCGTTATCCTTCAACATTGTATGTAACTGTTCGAGGATTGAAAGTTCCAGACTGTGTAAGTTAATAGCACATACAAATGTATACCTTCTATTGTTGAAATTAAATGATGATATAATATGTTTTCCAGTTTTAAAAAGATAGGTCTCAAAATTTTTAATGGATTTTTATAATAGGAAAATGCCTGAAGAGATGATATATATTAAGCTTATGGTTAATAATGGTTAATACTCAGAGAGATACTTAAATGAATTTTAAGTTTTTAATGTAGATTTCAGTGTTAGAAGAAATGTTAAAATTTGTTGTTTTTTTAGTTAAAATGAAAGGATGATTTTAAAATTATGAGAAATATATTCCTTATAAAGGGCCTGATAATAAATAATTTAGAGTTTATAGACCATATAATCTCTCTCAAAATTATCCGAATTTGTAGTGTAAATGTAGCAATATAGATATGGAATAAATCAATAAATAAATGGGTGTGATGTGTCCAAATAAAACTTTATTTATTTATTTATTTATTTTTAATATTTTTAGTTGTAGATGGACACAATACCTTTATTTTATTTATTTATATGTGGTGCTGAGGATCGAACCTAGGACCGCACACATGCGAGGCAGGTGCTCACCTACCACTGAGCCAAAACCCCAGGCCCCAAAATTTTATTTTTAATAAAATAATCTTTCAGGTCAGTTGCACTTTCTGTAGCTGATTTTTCTCATTTTCTATACATGTCTAGATAAAACCATCTTACCGCTCTATGATGGCACTTCAGGAGGAAAAAGGTAAACCAGTGTATTGTGAACGCCACCGTGAATCAAGTTCAGTCGACACAGAACCTGGATTAGAAGATTCAAAGGAAGTAGTAAAATGGAAACGACTTCCTGGGCAGGTGAAGTGTTTAATAATACTGGATTGATTTAGATATTTACTTATTACCTTAATCTTAGACTTTTAATTAATCCATTTGACAAATAATAGAATTCCTATTATATGTATAGTAGATTTTTCATTTGGGTACCAGGGAAGTTATATTAGTTTGCTATGGCTGCTATAGCAAAATACCATAGGTGAAGTAGATGTTTATTCATTCATTCATTTGTTTATTTATTTATTTATTTATGTATTTTGTGGAACAGGGATTGAACCCAGGGATGCTTTACCACTAAGCTGCATCTTCAGTTCTTTTTATTTATTTATTTATTTATTTTTGAGACAAGGTCTTATTAAGTTGCCAAGCCTGGCCTCGAACTTGTGATCCTACTGCCTTAGCCTCCCAAGCACCTGAGATTGCACACAGACCTTTCTTTCTTACTGTTCTAGAAATAAGTGCCAAATTGTTGCTAGCTAATTTGATTTCCTAATTTGATGAAAGTCCTCCTGGCTTACAAATGTCCTCCTTGCTATATCATCACATGGTGGAGAGAGAGAGAGAGAGACTATGTACCACGTTTCTTCCTTTAAGTGCAGTGATCCTATTTATGAGGACTCCACATTTATGATCTAATAAGCTCTCAAAGGCCCCATCTTTAAAAACCATCCTATTGGAGATTAGGGTTTCAATATATGAATGTTGATTAAGGTGCCAGCAAGGCTGATATCCTCTGTGACATCTCCTTAGCTTGCAGATGACTACCCTCTTTTTGCTTCTTCTCATCATCCTTTCTTTGTGTATGGTTATATCAGGTGTCTTTTCCTACTAGAACACAAGTCTGTTGGATTTACTACCCTACCCTAATGACTTCTTCTTACTTAATCATATTTTTTTAAATACTCTTATCTCTACTGCTACTTTAACATGAATTGGGAAATGTACACTATTTAGCCCATAACAGAGTCAAAACAGATTTTTGTTATGTAAGATACATATCTCCTAATCTTTAAGAATTCATGAATTTTTTACAGCCTCAGGTTTTCCTGAATCACATTTTGAGGGAGATAGCATACATATGCATATCCTTCTACAACAAGTTGAGCAACATTTAAACTTTTTCCTAAGTTTTCTAACTTGGTTAGTATTTTTGTAGTGGCAAAAACATTGGTAGTACAGCTTTACAAATATCTTACTTATTTCTACAAAGGATGGAGTAGTTCATTTTATACATTTGAGCCATGGACAGAAGTTATCCAAAATCTAAATGTTATCCAAATCTCTAATGTAGAAATAGGAATGGTTGTTTTTCTAGGCCTCTTAATTTGCTGTGTTTTGTAACACATTTAACTTTCTTTTGAGACCAGTTTTATAGATGCATTTTAAAATATCTTTATTGGGGTTAGGATACTTCAAACAATGCAGGTAGAACATCTCTAATGTGAAAATACAAAACTCTCAAAAAGTTTTGAATTCTAGAGAATTTGAGATTTCAGATTTTCAGTTTAGGGATGCTCAGCCACAAATGTCCAGGCAAATATTCCAAAAGCCAAAATAACTCCAAAATTTGAAATATTTCTCATTCCAATTATTTCAGAAAAGGATACTCAACCTCTAAAATAGAGAGAATGACACTAGATTATGCCCTTAAGGAAAGGAGAAATTAGTGATGTTCACTTTCATGTGAAAGTCTTGAGGAAAAATAAATATAAATGTAATTTTATACATCAGTTGTTTTCAAAGTGTGTTCAGGGACCTTCAGGAATCCTGAGGCCATTTCAAGGTAATCCTCAAAGTGAGTCTCTTTTCATAATGATTCCAAGGCATTAGTAGTCCTTTTTATTTTCATTCTGTTTCAAATACATGCTGCAGTTTTCCAGAGGCCAAATGGCATGTGATATCTCAAGAGGGTGAATGCAGATATGAAAACCTAGCGTTTATTAAGCCAGATGTTATGGAGATTTTCAAATCTGTACAAACACTTTCACTTCATGTAGTTATTTTTCATAAGTGTTCTTTTGTTAACATTTAATGGATTTGTTAGTATTATTTTTGAAGTGAATTAAATATTTTTTAAAATTTCTCCTTTTTAAATTCTAATGAAAAATTTCCATGGATATATCTACATAAACAAAAGCTTTGGGGGGATCTTCAAAAACAATTTTAAGACTGAAGTAATCCTGAAGCTAGATAAATTTGAGACTTCAAATATGAAGAAGGTGAACTAGAATGGAGAAAGAATATTCATTCACAAGAGGGATTCGAGATACTAGTATGGGTGATTTAAGCATGGTGAAGGATTGAGTAGGGAAGGATATTTCATATAGAAACAGAGTTGCAAATAAGTGAAAAGGGCTTCTTGCATTTATTAGACTCTTGCAACACTTTGCTGACTGGAAACCAGAGTTTGCATAAGAGATAAAGTGTCTTGCCTGATACTTGATTGTGTAGGATGTGAGAAACAATGGAAGGTTCTGGGAAGAAGAAAAACTTAATCATATTTCAGATAATAAATGTTGACAATGTCATGTGAAAGTCCTAAAGCAGGATACATTAGAATTAGAGAAATCTGTTGAATGGTATTTGGACATTGATGTGTGAGGTGATGAGGGGCTAACCTTGGGTTAGTTATGACAAAAATGAAAAGCAAGACATGGATATAAAATGTAGAAAATAAGACCCTGCCTGATTTAGTGATTGGCAGGAAATTAAGGGAGGGAACACCAGCAAAACTGTTGAGGATCTTTGTTGTTGTTATTTAATTTTTATAGAATGGGATACAGTGTCAAACCCTAGAAATACAAATAACATGATAGTAGCTTCAGTGATTTTAGCTGGATGATTAGGTATGGTTTTCCTAAAAACAGCAGCAAGTGATTGTAAGTAAAACCTCCAAACATCTCCTTCAGATTGTTTTTTTTTTTTTTTTGTCTTCCATGATGTCTGATAAATTATTTTTTATTGATTTTATTTTTTAAACACATGACAGTGAATACATTATAATTCTTATTACACATATAGAGCACAATTTTTCATATCTCTGTATATAAAAGTATGTTCACACCAATTCATGTCTTCATACATGTACTTTGGATAGTGATGTCTATCACATTCCACCATCATTGCTAACCCCCGCCCCCTCCCTTCTCCTACTCCTCCTCCCTATCTAGAGTTCCTCTGTTGTCTGATACATTATTACTCCACATTCCTAGTAGCAAATACATTCCTAGTAGCAAATTCCTAGTACAAACAAATCTTTTGTTTGTACCTGGTACCCATCTAGAGAGCAAGCCTAATAGTCTTTGACTGAGTCCATTAAGCTAGACTTAACTCTCTGAATATCCTTATTAGCTATAGTTAGCTAATAATAGATACTCTTAGCTAATAGCAGGGATTGCTTATGGTGTTTCTCAAAGGCATTTATAATAAGGTACAATATTCACAGTACACAACTAAGGGCTCAGTATATGTTTAATTCAGTGTTTTGTATGACAAGAAATACAAAAGTAAGACCCACTAAAGGTTAAGAGAGAGATATTGGGGGAAAAAATAAGTAGAGTTTTCTATAGTAGATATTAATACCCAGAAAATTGGAATAGGGAATGAAACATAAATTATGAAGAAATTTTAATGAAATTAATGAATGAGAGACCAATAGGGTATGATTAATTACTCTGAGTATCCAATAAATGCATTTTAAGACCAGAGATAGTACTAAACCCTCCATAGGTTATCTGTTCCTCTATTTATACATAACTGTTTTAAAGTTTAATTTATAAATGAGAATCTGTAAACTCCCTTCCTTGCAATAAATGGCTTGGTGTCACTCATTTCAGGGGATCCTTCGCTAAATTTTTGTATAGGCTCAATGTTTTCTGATGTTGCTGTCAGTTGGAACACCTTTTCTGTTCATGTCTTCAACCTCCAAATTCAGTGCCTTTTCCATTTTAACTAAGCACTTATCACTCACTGGAGCTATAACATGCAGTTTGAGGTATGACACAAAATTACCACAATTTTTTTTCTTCATAATTTCACAGATAAAAACTTATTATAGATCTTGGCATCTTCAGTATATGATTTCTTTTCTATAATAAATCTAGAACCTTCACCTCTTCATTTAAAGGAATTATTTCAAGGCGTCTCTTTGGCATATTTGAATTGCCAATACTTGAGTTCTTTGGAGCCATTATTGATTAAAATAAGGGGTACTTGAAGGTAAGCACTGAGATATGATAGTATATTTGAATTGCCAATACTTGGGTTCTTTGGAGACATTATTGATTAAAATAAGGGGTACCTGAAGATAAGCACTGAGATATGATAGTTGATCTGATAACTAAGAAGGCTATTCAGTGATAGGTAGCATATTGGTATCTATACTTACATCTGTTGATATCTATGTCACATAGATATGCAGGATGAAGAGGTGATTCATGTTCTAGATAGGGTGGAGCAGGACGATGCTATTTCATCACAGTACTTAGAATGGTACCAAATTTAAAACTTATGAATTTTTTATTTCTGGAATTTTCCATTTATTATTTTCAGACCCCAGTTGCTGTTACTAACCCAAAACCTCAGAAAGCAAACCACAAATAGGTGGGGAGGGAATTATGGTATATTTTAGAAACAGTCACAGAGGATAATTATTTTAAGAGAGAAAAAGAAAACGAATATTTGTATACTCTGGGCTTAAACTAGGTCATATGTAGTTTTAAAAACAAATTTGTCACATTAGCAAAAGTGACTTATTAGTTGCTGTTCAAAATAAGGTGACATATATTCTTTTCTGTGCTTGTATAAAAGCAATGTTGTAGTGACAGCTTTAGAGTATCAGATATTGAAATGTTTCTATTCATATTTTGTATGAATTAAAAACTAGTTAGACGTGAAGAACAATTTCACTTAATTTTATGGAGAACCAATTCTCTGGTTAGTAAGTAATTTACTATGGTTTTTCATTATTCTACCTACTTGCTTTTCCCTTTTTATTAAGAAAAGACACTATAATAATTTAAATTTAACAACTAGAGTTTGTATTTTTAATGTTTACTAACATGAATTTTAAATGTATGTATTTTAGGCTTGCCGTATCCCAAACAAGCACCTCTTCTCACTGAATGCAGGAGAGCGAGGATGTTTTTGTCTTGATTTCTCCCACAATGGAAGAATATTAGCAGCAGCCTGTGCCAGCCGGGATGGATATCCAATTATATGTGAGAAATGATCCTACCTGTTTAATCTGATTGTAGTCTGTGTGGTGGACATTGTTTAGTTTTTAGAACTCATTGAAATCTTAATGCGAGTAATCCCCAATACCAGTAAATTAAACAGATTTCTTCAGGTAAACAGTTCTTTTATACTTTTATAACTTTTGTATTTTTATAACTTGTATAACTTTTAAAACTGTTATAACTTTTATATTTTTTTCAAATATAGTGAAAATTCTGAAATGAAAGCTATTATTTTTTTTAAACATGCAGAAGAATTTTTGTAAACATTTTCTACTTTAAGTACAGAAATTTAGAAATTTAAGGGATTAATAATTCTCATGGGAGATTTTAGTCCAATATGGTTAGTTGATAAAGGTGGTTATTTGAATTATAAAAACTCACAAACTTGTGTACTAGAATGCTAATAATTGGCTTAGCAGTACCCAGATAAAAACTTGTTATTAAAAACAGGGAAGTCAACAGAGAGGCCAAGAAAAATTATTTTTCTGTAGCTTTAGAGATTTTTTTTTTTTTTTTTTACGTGAGCATTATCATACTGTTCTAGATTTAGAATTCTGTGTTAAATAGTCCCGTATTTATAACTCGCTCTTGAAAGCCAGCTCTCCTCAGGAGGAAGAAAGCAGCTCCTCATGGCATTAACCTTCTCTGCCTTAACCCCCAGATCATGTTGAACTTCACTTAGCTTCATGTAGTTTGTTATGCCTTGGTTGATTTAGTCAGAATTGATTCTGTTGGCATTTTTTTGAATGACTATTCCTTCCCATTGCAATAATAATAGATTTTTAAAATACAAAATTATTTATGTAATTCAATTACCACTGTGCTATTTTAAAATTCACCAAGAAACCTATGTATAGTAGAAAAAGATTCTTGGGAAATATGCTCTAAGATATTAATAATATATTTTTTCTTTTGGGGGGGATAGTGAAAGAATTATTTTCATTCTGGTTTATATGTTGTAAATTTTTTGTGATAGACTTGTTACTTTATGCTTAAATTACTTGTTAAAAGTGCTATGTGTATTGCTTAAATCTTAAAACAGAGGATGACTTTTTGATTTTGAACTATTATGATGTGTCCAGATCTGGCCATCATTTTAGCTTGTTAAATGTATGGATTACTGTTTTTTACAAATATGCTAAGTATTCAGTCATTCCAGTGTTCTGTTTGCCCCTCTCTTTCTTCTTCTGGGACACTCCTTGTACCTGTGTTGGTAGAACTAGTAGTGTCCCACAGGTCTCTTGAGACTTATTTATTTATTTTTTTAAAGTCTTTTTTAAAAAATATTTATTTTTTAGTTGTAGTTGAACACAATGTTTTTATTTTATTTATTCATTTTTATGTGGTGCTGAGGATCGAACCGGGCCTCACACATGATAGGCGAGTGCTCTACCGCTGAGCCACTACCTCAGCCCCTTAAATTCTTTTTCTTTTTGTTCTTCAGACAGAATAATCTCAAGTGACCTGATGTTGTTTAGTAATTCTTCCATCAGTTCAGAGCTGCTGTTGAACCCTTTTAGCAGTTGTACATTTCAACCCTAAAATTTCTGCCTTATTCTTTTTTATTATTTCCGTTTCTTTACTGATACAGTCTTTTTTGATGAGAAATCATTGTTAGACTTTACATCTTTAGACATGGTTTTCTTCAGATTTTTGAACATATTTATAATATTATGTTTTTGTTGAAAAAGACCAACCTCTGGGCTTCTTCAATTTCTTTTTTTTTTTTTTCTTCAATTTCTGTATGGATAGTTTTTATTGACTGCTTTTTTTCCTCCTGTGTATGAGCCATACTTTCCTGTTTGTTTTTCTGTGTATCATAATTTTGAGCTGAAAACTGGATATTTAAATAAAAAAAGTAGTACAGCAGCTCTGGGAATCATATTCCTCTTCCTATTTCCTCTCATCCAAACCAGGATTTGCTATTATTGCTATTTGTTTAGTGACTTTCCTGGACTAATTCTGTAAAGTCTTTATTCTTTGTCATGTATTAACATTGTAGTCTCTACTCAGGTTAGTGGTCAGCTTATAGGTCAGGCAGAGTTTTTTTAAAAATAACTATGAGTGGATAGATCTGATGTCCTTGGCCAGGAAGCTGTGTGTATGTGTTGGAATATGCTTTCAGTGTTTTGGAAGACAATTTAAAACTCTGCCTTAGCCTTCACTTTTTACTGGTGCAGCCCTCTTCAGGTCAGCCATAGTGTCTATACATTAGAATTTTTTTCTGACAATAACAGTTTAAATTTATTATTACTATAAATAATTACAATATGGGTCAGCATTTAGTTCTTTTTCACGTAGAATAAATAAAACCTTATTTGTGAAGCCCCATATTATAGACTATTTGAAGTAAATTGCAATGTAAATGTTATTTATTATAAGACTGATCAATTAATTATCAAAGATACTTCGGGGTTGCTTTGAGAGATTAAAATGATTAATAATATATTCTATTATATTATTTTAGCATATTATAAAATTTTATGTGTAAATTCTTATATCTAAAGGTAATGAAAAACTATTTTTAAATAGATTGTAAAATTTTGTTTGTACTGCATGTCTTTGGTTGTATTTTTCTTACACAGTTTTTAACATATGTCTAAATTATTATGAATTGTGTATTTAGGTAACATTGAATTAAATATCCTCTATCTGGAAGCCTATTAATTTCTAAATATTTTTATTAGTATATGAAATTCCTTCTGGACGTTTCATGAGAGAATTGTGTGGCCACCTCAATATCATTTATGACCTTTGCTGGTCAACAGATGATCGATATATTCTTACTTCATCATCTGATGGCACTGCCAGGTTAGTATACTCAGCAAGTTCTGATTTTGCATGCTCTTTGCCATGGAGGAAAGCTAAGAGAAGATGAAGTCATGCAACTACACTTATGCTTCTGTTTTGTTTTTACCAATGAAGGGACTGTCATAAATATGCATCATGTAGACTGACTGATTAAATAAGTAGTCATAAACTTCTTCCTTGAAAGAATTCTTCTTAAATATATTTATTTATATAGTATGTAGGATTTCTGGTCCTAACCATCTTGAAATGATCATTAAGTAAACTCTTTGATTAATAGCTTGAGATGAGGTTATTATACACTTGAAATTTTTCTTCTGATGTCAGAGATTCCATCTTTAATCTTCAGCCATGGCTGGATTCAGGGGCTAGAACCCAATAGAGCTCATTACTTAGTGACGTAGAGGGAATAAATAAGTATGTGGTTTATGTTTTAAAGAGTTTTGTAGATTGTTAATTATTTGCATTTTCAATATCTTCTTAAATTGTCCCTTTTCAATTTAGTAGTATCAATAATTTTTTTTAAAAAAGCTAAATTTTAAAGTTTTAATTATACTGTTTTTAGATGCTTATTTGACTTTGTGTTCTAAAAATGCTATTAGGTAATTTTTCAAAATGCTTTTATATACATCATTTAATTTGGTTCCAACAACTATTAGGTGGACACGTTCTCTCTATACTTTAGTGTGACACTTAGCATTTTAAAATCCATTATGACTTCACTCTCATTTACATTTTTTGCTTCCTTTTAACTTAGCATGTGACTTGTAGCCTCTGGGCCCCTTTTTCTATTGATCTTACTCTTCTTTTCTATATAAAATGTCTAATTGATAATGATTTTTATCATTGTTGTTTAGTTTATATGTAAATGAAAAAGATGACAGTTCGTGACAATTAATTTCCCTCTTTGTTTAGCTGGGAACCTACTTTCTTACTCCCCCTTTACCAATATGCTCAGGAACTGATCAGGAACAGTATTCTCAGGGACAGCCATTAGGTCTGATGTCAGTAATACTAAAGGAAAATGCATAGCTCTGTTGAGGATTGTTTGTAGATTGGTGAGTCTTAGTCACCTGAGCTCTTGTCCCTACTGAGCAATCTTTATTCTTATTTTTATTCAGCTCCTTTTCCCATTCCTCTGGTAGCAGATCCAAAGCTCACTGTGCATCAAGTTCTCTAAATCACAGTCTTCAAGTTCTCTATACTAAATTACAGTCTTCCAGTTTTTGTTCGATGACTACCTTCAGTTTGCTGTCAAACTTAGACATGAACTTTCTTTATTTCCTTCTGGTTTCCCCCCTAATATCTATAAATGCACCCATCTTTATCTGTTTTGTATGTATATCGCAATTTCTCTTCCCTTCCCCAGATTTGAGTCTCTTATGTGCTAATGTCTCTGTCTCCCACCTTTTTTTTTTTTTTGAGTTTGTCTTTTCAAACTGTGCTCATCTATTCCATTCCCACCATATCTAACAAGCACTGAAGTCTGCCAGTTCTCCCTCTTCAAAGACTCAAAATTCTGTCACATCCTTTCTGTTGTTGATGCATTTGCCTTATTTCAAGCCCTAGTATCTCTTCTTATGTCGGTATTTCACTTTCCTAGCATTCAATCTCTAGCTCTTCTGCCTCTGCTGTGCTAAAATCTAATCTTTCTAAAACCATCTTTCATAATACTTTGACTTTAAAAAGTCGTTGAATACCCATTGCCTTTGGGAAATGTTCTAATTCCTTACCACAGCATAAAGACATATCCCTCATTGATTGTTCTTACATTCTTCTCTATGCACTTGCCAGATACCCTTTGCCTGACCCACACAATCTTTGGAAATACCCTTAGCATATCTTCTTTGTCATCTCATGCCATTTTACCTTAGACTTATTCCTCCTATACTTAAATGCCCCTCTCTTACCCTTTTTGCCTAATTTCATCATTCAACAAAAAATTAAGTGTCTTTTATGAGCCATAGTGAATTGTGGTTGTCATTTAAAAATTCAGCCCAAATTTTCTTGAAGCTGTCCTGGGTTTCCCCACACAACATACAATACATTATAGAGAAGTATGTTATTCTTTATGTAGCTTTGTTTAGACTCTACATTGTAAAAATATTGTGAAATCATTAACTGAATGAAGGGAGAGCAAGGACAAGGAGGTTTTTGAAAGAAATAAAGGATATTTGCAAGGAATAAGCTAAAGTTAAAAGGAAGAGAATTAGGATTCCTAATAATCAGAAGTGGCAAATGTAATTACTGCCCATGTCTTCTTCTCTTTTCCTGGGAATCACTGCTCTATGTTATCGCTAATGTCTCCTGAGTAACATTTTCTCACTGACTAGCTTTCTGCCATATGCCTTTAGTCTCAATCCTCTTCTTTAGCCATTTGTAGAATAGTGTGTGTGTGTGTGTGTGTGTGTGTGTGTGTGTGTGTGTGTGTTTTCACATCAACAGTTCCTAATACAATCTGAGGAATGGCTCTCCAATAGGCCCATTTAGTGTACCTTACAATACTGCTTTTTTTTTTTTTTTTGTAGTTGTAGATGGACAGAATGCCTTTTATTTTGTTTTTTTATTTTTATGTGGTGCTGAGGATTGAACCCAGTGCCTCATGCATGCTAGGCAAGTGCTCTGCCACTGAGCTACAGCCCCAGCCCTCCAATACTGTTTTAACTTTGGTCTTTGGTATGTTTTTTTTCATCCCCAAATATAATTATTTTTGTGTATGGCTCACCCACTCCTTACAGATTTGTGTTTCCTTGTTCTCTATGAGCACCCTGATTTCCTCCAAACCCATTAATATATGTCTTTTGATCTTGTATTCTGTAAAAACCACCACTAGTAACTGATCAGGTTTTATACAAAATGCTTCATTTTTATTTTAAAAATATTGTATCTACTTTAATTGCATGGAGCTGTTTTAAAGATAAGTTTGTTTCATTTCTGCCTGTTTTATAATATTTCAAATAATGCCACTAAGATTTATTAACAAGCAATTAAGATTTTTTCTTTTAACTATTTTAGCAAGTTAGCAATTTTGTTCTTTTAGTAGGCATCCTATTTCATGTAGCATATGTTTATTGAAATTTTTACTGTGGTAAAAATGTTTATATAGTGACACGTGCTTTATTTTCATTTGAAACATGTTATTTCATCAATAGTTTGGATTCTTAGTAATTGAAGAGCATATTCCATATTTTAAGCAGCTGCTGAGAAAATTCATAGAATGTTATTTTTAAATAGTCAACTATATTTTTCTTTTATTTACAGTTTTATAAAAGACTTAATTTGCTTTAATTCTTATGCAATAATTCAAAACATTTTGAATTATTTAAATTTAAATTTAAAAAAATTCTAATTCTAATAACTTAACCAAACATATTTTCAAAATTCACTATTCCACGTTCATGTAACTCCTTTTTTGTTGCTAGATTTTGCCTAGTTTTACACATCACAGAAATGTAAAATACCTAACAAAACAGTTTAACCCTTTGATTCACTCTTTGATCAAGACAATAATAATATTAAGTTTTGTATAAAATCAGCCATTATTTAGAGGAAGAAATACTGAGAGGGTTGAACACAGAAAGAGTGCCCAGTGTAGCATAGCTTATCAGAATCTTTGATATTATTTTTATTTTGCTCAAGAATTCAGAGTAATTTCAACACAGCTTTTAAGTCTTTGGGATCTTCATGTTTATTATCTACATAATCAATTTTTTTGAAATTACAGATGTAAAAATCAATAGTCAATCCTGTTCTCTAAACCAGCACTAGTAAGCATTTTCCAGAAGCAATATATACAACATAAATGGCCAATCATTTAAGTTTCTCTCCATATTTTTAAAAATGCATTGTACTAAAAGCAATATTTTACCAACTATTCAATGTGGTTTAAATAATATCGAAAATAGGTAGATTTTAAAAATATAGAGATATATCCAAATAAAAATACAGTTTTTAATTTTACCCTATAGGTTATAATTAATAGATATATTATGCTTGAGAATAAGAAATGGCTAAGTGTGAAATTTTTCAGCCATCAAATACATGGTCATATTTTTTTATTGCTATAAATGTTGCTTTACCTTGGTCATTGTTAATTACTTATTTAAGGCTTATTGTCTATTAGCATTTAGATAAACTGTTAAATGCCTTTCAGAAACAATATATAACTTTTCTATTTTTACAGGATATGGAAAAATGAAATAAACAATACAAATACTTTCAGAGTTTTACCTCATCCTTCTTTTGTTTACACGGCTAAATTTCATCCAGCTGTAAGAGAGCTGGTGGTGACAGGTTGCTATGATTCTATGATACGGATATGGAAAGTTGATATGAGAGAAGATTCTGCCATATTGGTTAGACAATTTGATGCTCACAAGAGTTTTATCAACTCTCTCTGTTTTGATGCTGAAGGTATGTCAGAGAATATGTTCACAAGGAGGGCTAATTGAATGAAGAACTGATTTTAATTTTCATTTTACTGATAAGCTTATTTAAGCTTGGGGGATTTTATGTATTGATGATTATTTGTGAATATTTAGGTATAGGTTACATGTAGGTTTGACACTGAGGGAGTTTTGTTTATATTTTAAAAATTATTAAATTTCTCAAAAGATTCATTTGATATCTACTCTCAATAGTCAGTTGTGTATCAAATTTTCTTAATGTATTTACTTGGATTGGTGATGATCATTCTTAGTAAGTTGTCTTTAAGGACCTTTTAAGTTAAAGGATCCAAAATTAGGGAGATGTGGGGGGAAAATCTCAAAAGAATGTAAATATATAAGTTAAATGAGCAACAGGATTATTTAAATAGTAAGTGTTTCTCAGCTTTTCATCACTGATCAAATAACTCAAAAAAGAATTTGGAAGAACAAAGATTTATTTTGGCTTACAGAGATTTTAGTCCATGGTTGTCTGCTTCATTGTTTTCAGCCTGAGGTGAGGCAGAATATCAAGGTAGAAGAGTGTGGTAGAGCAAAGATGTTCACAGTAGGGTAGTGGGGAAGCAGAGAGGGAGAGGAAGGGACTGAGGACAAGTAATACCATCCCAGGGCACATCTCCCAGTAACCTGTTTCTTCTAACTGTCCCACTGCCTACAGTTTCTGCCGTTTAGCTATCAGTGGGTTAATCCTCTGATGGAGTCAAAGCCTTTCATGATCCAATCACTTCCCTGAAGCCCTACCTCTGAATATGGCTCCCCTGGGGACCAAGCTTTCAATACTTGAGTTTTGGGGGCATATCCAAATCATATCAAGTACACACACATATAAAAGGGAAAATTATAATCATTTAAAGGTTTCTCCTAGCATATGAATAATGTAGATGATATTTTAAAGATATAAAATGTAAGTTATTTTTCTTAAAGAATTTTATTATGTCTATTAATTACTCACTTTATACATTATTTCAGACACTAGCTATGTAAGCTATAGCATTCATTAATTAAAATGGGATTCAGATCAAAATGATGATATGTATCTGTAATAATAATGTTCATCTATAAGGATGTCAGTAAATTTGGAACATATACATGAAAGGCCATGAGAAGAAAAGTGTCTTGAAAAATTGTCAGAAGTAGCTCAGGTTATAAAAGAGATAATTAAAAAAATATTTAGCCATAAGATATGCAAATGTGAAAAATGTCTCTCTAATAGGTAGAATTGAGGCCAAAGCTACAGAAGTCAGATTTTTCTTTGCTCAGAATTAAAAAGAGCATTCTAACACATAGAGCAATTCACCAGTTGAATAAGCTATTTTATAAAAATAATAAATTTACAATTAGCAAACACCCTTCTATTAGTAATGGTGTATAAGAGATTCCTGAACTTGATGCTTAAAATCCTATTCAACTTTAAGATGACTTAATGCTAAAGAATTGAGGTTAAACTATTAACATTTGTTATTTATTATTTTATTCATCTCTGTTCATTTATTGAGTTTTCAGTGGGTTTTAGGCATTATGCTTTTCTAAGCCTATAAAGCAGATTATATAGGTTAACAAAGATTAGGAGTAGAGGTGCTGGTTGAATAATTCAATTAATCTGGATTTAGAGTATGAGCTGTATACCCAAACACTGAAATGCTCATTTGCTGTGTTAAAATTCAGGTAAGGGAGAAACGGAAATAAGTATTCACAAATAATTTAAAAGAATGAAAAATTCACTTAAAGATAATTGGAATTAGATTGGAAGTTATTTTGCTTTTTGAAACTAACATGCCTTTTAATGGCACTCCAGTTCTTTGATTGTTCCACTGGGTTGTGGTTTCCTCTCCCTAGACTTCATAGCTTTTGTTTTTAACTCTTGCAATATTCATAGCTGAGTTTGGGTTTTTTGTTGTTGTTGTTGTTGTTTTAAAATAGGCCATCACATGTATTCAGGAGACTGCACAGGGGTGATTGTTGTTTGGAATACTTACGTCAAAGTTAATGATTTGCAACATTCAGTGCGCCACTGGACTATAGATAAGGTATGAAATCATATTTTGTAATTTGGAATGTAATTAAAGAAATTGGGAAAAATATTCAACCACATGACCTTGAGATAGGACATATAGATATTCTTTCTAAAACAGCAACTCTTTCTCAGTCCCTAAAAAGTCAGTTATCATTAACTGTCACATCTTCCTGATGACTAATTGATGACAACATAGTGAATATTTTCATTTGGGCCAGGACTTTGTGTGTGTGTGTGTGTGCGCGCGCGCGCGCACATAAGCGCACATGTGTAGTTCTGGGTCTTGATTCTACAATCTCTCGCATACCAGGCAAGCACTATACTACTCAACTGCATCCTAGCCCACATTCTGCCATCATATATAACATATTTAAATAAAGACTAAAATAATAAATAAATTAAATAAATGAAAAAGACAAGAAATTTTTAAAATAAGTAAAAAGTAAAGAAAAAATAAAAAACTTAAGAAGTGAGCTAGAATGTCTTTTTAGTGGAAAATGCCATATGACAAAATGGAGAGACAGTGATTATATCCTTGGCTATAGTTCACCAGCAGTGTGGTGAATGCTAAGTTGCAATCATCTGTCCCTTAGCCATGAAGCATTCATATACTGTTGCACATACTCTTAGCCAGTCATAATACTTTTCAAAGCAAGGGCTTTTTTAGTTTGAATATGAATGTAATCAAAGAAAAATATGGAGGAAATCACCAGACACTACAGGCATTAAATCTGGTAGCAACTTTCTCAAATTTGTACCTAACACTTGTTCTGCAGTTTTATTTTTTATTTGTCACTTTTGTTCCTGTTCCAGTTGCTCAATTCCCCACCAGTGCTCTCTCGCCTCAAATTTGATGTGGTTTAACTCACTGAAATCCTCATCTGTGGTGTGTTTCATTGTTGTCTATGACTTTAAAAAAATAGCTGGCTGCAGGTCTTAGTGACAAACAGTGGTAGCAGGGGCTCAGCAGCTAATACTAGAACTGTAGCTCAGTGAAGCCCACCATGACCAGTGCTGAAGAAGTCCAGAGACTCTCTTAAATGAAGGGAATGAAAAGCAATAAGGGAGAAGGTGGCTAATTTAGAGTTCTGCCTGAAGGTTAAGAGACTTTTCTTTGATTTTTTGGACTTTAGCCAAAGTAATATTCATTTGCAATTCTTTTGTCTGGTAAGCTAAAAAAGAATAACCTTTGATAATATTCTTTTGATTTTTAAAAAATTAATTTTATTGTGTATATTTAAGGTATATATGATATTAGGAAAATACATGCATACAGTAAAAAGGTTACCATTGTGAAAAATTAACAAATCCATCATGTGGCATAGTTTGTCTTTATTGTTATTTTTATGATGACCAATTGGAATCTACCCCTTTAGCATGAATCTTTCATTCAATACAATTTTACTACCTGTAGTTCTCATGTTATACATTAACTCTCTAGACGTGTTCATTCTATGATGTATCCTCTGACCTACATCTTTACATTTCTTCTACCCTTGCAGCCTCCAATAACCTCTTTATTTGAATTTTTTATTTTTTAACATTGCTCACATAAGTGAGATCATGCAAAAAATTTTTGCAATATTTTTCTTTCTTTGTTTGACTTATTTTACTTAGTATAGTATCCTCCAGGCTCATCCACATTGTAGGAAATGGAAAGAACGTATTCTTTTTTAGGGATAAATAATAGCCCCACCCCCATTCCGTGTGTGTGTGTGTGTGTGTGTGTGTGTGTGTGTGTTTATAGGTATATATCACAGTTTATCCATGGCTGGACACAGACTCTGTCCATATGCTGGCCATTGTGAACAATACCCATTTATTATCTTTGTTTTTGTGGCCTGAGTTTTGGATGTAATACCCATAAACTCATTACCAAGACTAATATTCAGAGGTTTTTCCTCTATTTCTGTTCTATGAATATTTATAGTTTCTGGTGTGAACATGGGAATGGGAGTGCAGCTATCTTTATAAGATGATGATTTTATTTCCCTTAAGTGCCTGGAAGAGGGACTGCTGGGTCATATGGTAGTTCTCATTTCAATTTCTTTGGAAACCTCCATAATCTTTTCCATATTGACTCTACTTTCCCAACAGCAGTGTAGAACAGTTCTCTTTTCTCCACATCCTTAACTTTTGACTTTTTGATAACCATTCTGGCAGGTCTGAAGTGTTATCACATAATGGTTTTAATTTATATTTCCTTGAATGATTAATGATGTTGAGCCTCATTTCTTATTCCTGTTGGCCATTTTTATGTCTTCTGTGGAGATAAATGTCTGTTTTGATCTTCTGCCCATCTTTTACTCAGGTTACTTGTTTTTCCATTACTAAGTTGTAAGAGTCTTTATAAATTTTGGGTATTGGCCTCTTATTAGACACATGGTTTACGCATAATATTTTTCCCAATCTGTAGGCCACCATTTCGTTTTGTTGACTGTTTACTTTGTGTTTCAAAACCTGTTTAATGTCATCTCATTTATTGATTTTTTTGGTTTTGTGGCCTGAGGTTTGGATGTAATACTCAAAAACTCATTACCAAGACCAATATTCAGAAACTTTTCCCCTATGTTCTCTTGTATGAATTTTATAGTTTTTGGTGTTAATTTAGATTTTTTATCCATTATGAGTTGATTTTAACATACAGAGTAAGATAATAGTAATTCTTCTTGGGCAAGGCTGGTATAGGCAGGTATCTTTCCTGACATCATTATTTAATATCTTCTTTAGCTGCATCAAATAACTGTATCTCCAAATTCCCAAAACCCTACCTAAAGTTATAATCTAAATTAAATGATTTCAGAATGACATGTCTGTAACTTATGATTTTTCAAGACTAGTAGAAGTATATGAAAAGTATGAGATTGGACTGGAAACTGAAAAGTTAATTCTGCATTTAGGTTTGAATTTATAAAAATTGGAAGCTTTCTTATATGATGTTAAACTAAAAATGCAGTGTCAGAAGATGTGTATGATGAATGTGCCTTTTGTTTGGGACTGAAAATGAACAATATACAAAAACACATACTAATTAAATGCAGTATTGCATATTACAAAAAATAAGATTTGTCAGCTTCGTTTTCAGTCCTAAACTGCAGTTGCTGGGAATCTTTTTGCTAACAGTTTTACAGTATTGTATATAGTGGAATTGCAAGTGATGTTTTTAAATTAATTTTCTACTTTTCAGGCTCCATAGTTTATGATTTTTTAATTCATTTTAGGAAATTAAGGAAACTGAATTTAAGGGGATTCCAATAAGTTATTTGGAGGTTCATCCCAATGGAAAACGTTTATTAATTCATACCAAAGACAGCACTTTGAGAATTATGGATCTCCGAATGTAAGTATATTTTAGTATCAACAAGATGAGTACTCGTAGGATAATTAATAAGTTAGTTTATATTTATAAAATGCAGCAATGGTTCTTAACTAGGCAGTTTTGCCCCCTCGGGATATCTGACAGTGCCTGGAGACATTTTGTTTCTTTTTTGTTGTTGTTGTTCTTTTTAGTTGTACATGACAGTAGAATGTATTTTAACATATTGTATATACAACTTCTCATTCTTCTGGTTGTACGTTATGTGGAGTTACGCTGGTTGTGTATTCATATATGAACATAAGAAAATTATGTCCAATTCATCCTACTGTCTTTTCCATTCCCATCCCCCTCCCCCCCTTCTCCCCATCCTCCTCTATCCAATCTAGTGAACTTCCACTCCCCACCCCGCCGCCTATTATGAGTCAGCATCCACATATCAGAGAGAACATTCAGCCTTTGGTTTTTTGGGATTAGCCTATTTCACTTAGCATGGTAGTCTGAAGTTCCATCCATTTACCAGCAAATGCCATTACTTCATTCTTCTTTATGGCTGAGTAATATTCCATTGTGTATATGTACCACATTTCTTCATCATTCATCTATTAAGGGCACCTAGGTTGGTTCCATAGCTTAGCTATTGTGAATTTTGCTAAGAACATTGATGTGTCCACATCACTATTGTATGCTGATTTTAAGTCCTTTGGTTATACACCGTGGAGTGGGATAACTGGATCCAAATGATGGTTACATTCCAAGTTTTCTGAGGAATCTCCACACTGCTTTCCATAATGGTTGCACCAATTTTCAGTCCCACCACCATTGTATAAGTGTACCCTTTTTCCCACATCCTCCCCAACATTTATTGTTACTTGTATTCTTGATAATTGCCATTCTTACTGGAGTAAGACGGAATCTCAATGTAGTTTTAATTTGCATTTCTCTAATTACTAGTGATATTGAACAATTTTTCATGTATTTGTTGATCATTCGTATTTCTTCTTCTGTGAAGTATCTGTTTAGTTCCTTTGCTCATTTATTGATTGGGTTATTTGCTTTTTTGATGTTAAGTCTTTATATGTCCTGGAGATTAATTATGCATCTGTGATGTAGGTGGCAAAAATGTTCTTCCATTCTGTAGACTCTCTGTTCATGTTCTTGATTGTTTCCTTTGCTGTGAAGAAGCTTTTTAGTTTGAAGCCATCCATCCCATTTATTGATTCAACTTCTTGCACTTTAGGAGTCTTGCTGAGAATTCTGTTCCTAAACCAAATGGTAGAGACTTGAGCCTACTTTTTTTTTCTAGTAGGCACAGGGCCTTTGGTCTAATGCCTAGGTCCTTGATCTACTTTGAGTTGAGTTTTGTGCAGGGTGAGAGATAGGGGTCTAATTTCACTTTATTACGTATGGATTTCCAGTTTTCTTGGTACATTTATTGAAGAGGCTATCTTTTCATTTGGAGACATTTTTTATGTATCTGTTAGGTTAAGATCAGAAATGCTGCTAAGCATCCTATGGCTCATAAGAAACTGCCCCTGACACACAGAATTATCCAGCCCCAAATGAGAACAGCTCTGGGGCTAAAATGTAGTCCACTGCTTTCTATCTTCACCATTAAAAACAGAAACTTCTGCCTTCAACAATGAGAGCGTATCTTTTATCTCTTTGAAACTGCTATAAGCATAATATTGGTATATAACTGAAGGAGATGACTTTTGGTTAATAGGTTGTTGTTTGTTTTGTTTCTTTCTTGTGTATAACAGGAAGTTGGGGGTAATGGGATTGAGCCCAGGGGCATTTACCACTGAACTATATCCTAGCCCTTTTAAATTTTGAGACAGAGTTTCACTAAGTTGCTGAGGCTAGCCTTGAATTTGCAATCCTCCTGCTTTAGTCTCCCAAGTGTCTGGGATTATAGGTGTGCACCACCACTCTAGGTTTCTTTGGGTTTTTTCCTAAATGAAGGGAAATTTTTTTAAATAGAAAAGACAGAGCAGAGTTCTGGGAAAATGCCTGGGATTTTAGTATGCTTTTGTCTCCATGGTTCTGTAAAACAAATGAGAGAAAGCTATTTTATTAGATTTCCTTATTGTATTTAGAAAAACGTGGTGATATTAATTGGTAAGATTAATATATTAGTTTGATTCTGCAGTTATCTTTTTAGTGCTGATCATTAACCTTCACTGTTTACATAGACTAGTTCAAGATCCTGGCATGGATTTGAGACAATGATAAAAGGATTAGTCCATGAAGAATTAATAATCTAATTGCACACCTCCAAAATGAAACAAAAATATTTAGTCAGACTAAAATATGAGACTTTCACAGATTGGAATTTGTTTGTTGTTTTTTCACGTCCAGACTCAATACATATACACTATACACGTGTATAAATGTGTATATATATTCACACATTATATTTAATGAATATAAGTATATAATAAAAATTATATTTTTCATGGCAACAATAAAGCTGATAACTATGATATAGTCTTCTGTTAAAGGTTCTATTTAGAGGAGATTTGAGCTGAATCTTGAAGGATGGACAGAATTTAGATAAGATGGAAGTGTTTCAGTAGGATAGAAAGCATGAAATCAAGTTCAGAAGTGGAATCATGTGTGTTCAAGGCAGAGGAGGTAGTCCATATGAGTAGAGGTTTCTTGACAAGGAATACTGGGAGTAAATTTTTAAGAAATGGCAATTAGAAATAGATTGGAAGTCCAGTCTAAAGAGTTTGGTAGTTCCTTTTTAAATAATATAAGATCATGCCTCGGCTCTAAAGGTGCACTGCTTAGAGTCAAATGCTTCACCCTTTCTAGCCAATTAACCTTTCTGTGCCTCTCTTTTTTCATTTCTCAGATGGGAGAAATAATATATCTTACTTATAAGGGTTTTGTGGAGGAATAAAGTAGTTAGAACATGTACATACAACAGTAAAGGACATAGAAAGGAATAGAATAGTTTAACCCAATAACTGTAGGTCTGGAAATTCATGTTAAGAAAAAAATTGTAAAATAGTATAAATATATATAAATACACAGATTGTTTATTGACATCATGTTCATGGTAAAGGAAACTGGGAAACATTGTAAATGCTACACAATAGAAAATTTATTAAGATACATTTAGGCAATGGTAAATACCCATTAAAATGATAATGCATAATGTATTTTTTCTGACATGGTGCTCAACTATTCATTATTTATTGATAGACTAAAAAGAGATTAGTGTTTCTACCAGACAGGTATAAGTGCTGAAACAGTGTAACCTTTATTTGTAAGTGAAAAAGTCTGAAAGTTTGTACACCAATTTGATGTATGATTTGATAATTTATTTTATCTACTATTTCTTCAGGGACCAAGTATTCCTCGTATGATTTTAAAAATCCATTAGAAGAAAGATATTATAAGAATATAAAAATTCTATCCATTTTTTTAGTAACCAACTCAAATGTTGCTTCCATAAAGTAGTCTGTCTCTTTTTTTCCTCTAACCTAGATCTGCAAAGCACTCTTTCTTCTCTTCTTTTGTGGGATACATTCTGTATCCATCTTCTATTTCACATTGATACAGTCCTTCTCTCCCCTGCTAAATTCTAATCTTCCTGGGCACTGGGACCAGCTCTTCTTTATTCTGTAGCCATCAAAGAATCTCTTTCATATGATAGAATCCCAAAAAGTATTTTGTTGAATTCAAATTAAATATTTAAATGGAAATTTTTTCTACCAGTAATCTTTTAAATGATTATATCATTAAATTAATTAATTTATTTATTTATTTATTTATTTATTTATTTATTTTGTGGTCTATAGATTAGCAGCAAGGAAATTTGTCGGTGCAGCAAATTACCGGGAAAAGCTTCACAGTACTTTAACACCATGTGGGACTTTTCTCTTTGCTGGAAGTGAAGATGGCATAGTATATGTTTGGAACCCTGAAACAGGTATTTATTGAGCTTCAGAAATCTTTTTTTAAGGGGGAGGTATTGGTTGGGGCCTGGAGAAGTATAAAAATACTACCATTTTATGGAATAATTTTTGAAAAAATTCTGATTTCAAGTTTTTAATTTTTTAGATTGAATAGCCTTTAATGGAGCTGAGCCACAATCTGAACATCTCAAATTCTGTTCTTTATTGTTTTATTATCTTTATTTGATTTAAAATTTCACTTTACAATTCAAGGTTTATTCTTTTCTTGTCTATGAGATAATGCTGCTCTTAGATATTTAATGACTGTAGTACAAAATACAAAATTATGTAAGCTGAATTGTAACTACATAGATGATTAAACACCTCTGTATTCTTTAGAGTAACAAAAAGACTCCTGTGTAATTTTTTGATGCTTGAAACTAAATTAGCAATTTACCTAAATTTTAATTTAAAATTTTTAAATAAATTAAACTGTTACCTTGAAAAGTTTATTTAGCCTTACTTTGGCTTTCTAAAAGAAAATCTGAAACTTCTTGAGCATTTCTTTAACTAGAAATTGAGAGAATTTTTTAAATTCCTTTAATGAACTGTGTTTGATTTCATCTCATTTTTTGGTTCTTTCCTTTATCCTTAATTTTGACGAGGCAGCATACTTGTGGATTTTTTTTTTCCATATACCATGTTTTAACTTCAATTTAAAAGCATTAACTGTCTCCCTTAATAAATGGATCTAGATCCTTTGTTTTTTTTCCTTCTGGCTGATTTTCTTGGGTTCTTTTCAATTCTGCTTTAAGCATATTTTAGCCATAATCAAGCAGTGGATATCTCAAAGAGCCTACAGAGGTAAAAAACAGAGTAGAAAAAATTAATACCTCAGCAGTCCTCTTTAAAATAGAGAATTTCTTCAGTTTTAGAGTTTCATAATTCCTCCCCTAGTTTTGCCCAGAATTCTTTGTTAGTTGTCATTTGCTCAGCCCTGACAGACCTCAGAACCATGTACCTCTATTCTTCCTTCTTATCACTTTGTGTTTATTTTGTGCCTTGAAAAGCTCATTGAAGAGGTTGGATTGAGAATTGGAAAGAGAAGGACCAACAATGCAAAATAAAGATATTATTTAATACAGGGTACTCAAATACACTGAAATATGTGAGCTTCATTAGAATTATAAGTATTTTTAATAAGTTGCAGAATAATAAGTCTTGTAGTAAGAAATACCACATACAGTACAAATTATTGAATCTCCTTTTTTTTTTTAATTCAGGAGAACAAGTAGCAATGTATTCTGATCTGCCATTCAAGTCACCTATTCGAGACATTTCTTACCATCCATTTGAAAATATGGTTGCATTTTGTGCATTTGGGCAGAATGAGCCCCTTCTTCTTTACATTTACGATTTCCATGGTAAGTCCACTCCACATCACTCACTGCTTGCTAAGTTAAGAATCTATGTAGACTCTGGGGCTGGGGTTGTGACTCATTGATAGAGCCTAACATGTGTGAGGCACTGGGTTTGAGCCTCAGCACCACATAAAAAAATAAATAAACAAAATAAAGGTATCGTGTCCATTTACAACTAAAAAAATAAAAAGAATATGTGGACTCCACAGATATCATACCCTAGGTACATGTGTGATGACACAAATGGTGTGACTCTATTTTGTGATAACTAGAGGCATAAAAAGTTGTGCTCCATTTGTGTACTGTGAATAGAAAGGCATTCTGCTGTCATGTATAACTGATTAGACCAAATAAACAATTTTTTTAAAATATTTACTTTTTAGTTATAGTTGGACCCATACCTTTATTTTATTTATTTATTTGTATGTGGTGCTGAGGATTGAACACAAGGCCTTGCACATGCTAGGCGAGCTCTCTACTGCTGAGCCACAACCCTACCCAACAAATTAATTTTTTTAAAAAAAGAATATGTAAACTAATCTTTATGTTTAGACTGGACCAGGAATCATGAGCTCTGTGAAATCTGTTTATCCTTTGAATTAAAAAACCCTCGTGAATATACTATAAAAGTAAAAAAGATTAAATAGATTGTATTATTATAATGCTACAACATTTTATTTTTTTTTCCTGTGAGCATGATTAATATGAAAATGTTGGCAAAAGTATTCATAATGGTTGTGCTCTATGTTGGAATCACAGAAAGGTAGCTGTTACTTTCTTTGTAAGTAAACATAAATAAGCAAAATTCACCTAAAAATTATTGGAGAATATGTTAACTAAATTTAAGAGATAAATAACATATGTAGAAAATATGAATCTTTAATGTTTTGAGTTGAATATTGAATTTCTTTTTATGTTTTTTATTAAATCACATAGTAAGTTGAGTTTCCTAACATAAAAAGTGAGGCAAAAATTAAATTTCCGTGAAAACAAGATCTGGAATTAAATTCTAATGTCTGTTTCATCTCTAAAATTACACTATTCTATCATTTTGAGAATAGTAAGGAAATTAAAAGTTTGAGTGCATTTTTCAAGAGTAGACTGTCATTCTAAGAATTGTTTATATTTGTTAATTTCTATTCTGAAATTAGGATTTCACTCTTTATATTAAAACTGTCTTTCTCAAAATTACAATTTAATTTTCTTTATATATCCTTTTTTTTAATATTTATTTTTTATTTTTCGTTGAACACATCTTTATTTTATTTTTATGTAGTGCTGAGGATCGAACCCAGCTCCCTGCGTATGCCAGGCAAGCACGCTACCATTTGAGCCACATCCCCAGCCCCTTTATATATTCTTATATAAAAAAAGGTCTTGATTAGTCTTTTTGATTTTTTTAGAATATTATGTGTCACTATTTCATAAGCTAATATTTTTTTATACACATATAATTACATAAGCACTATAAATATATAAATATGTATATAGCTACAACATTAATTAGTACTATTTGGGCAGTAATTAAATGAGAAATTAAGTTTATTATGTTAATACATATTAAATTGATGAATTCTCTGATAAGTGCAAGTTATTAGATAATTAAATTATTTACCTGGAATTTTTTTACTATAGTAGATATTATATGATGCCTTTCCCAGTGAATTATCTTCAAAAAAATACATAAAATCAAGATTCTTCTTATTTTGAAAAACCTGATAGAAAAGAATTAAATTCTGCAACTCATATTCAGATTTATAATAAAACACTCCATTACTAATGTCAAGCAACATAGTACCATTTACATTTACTAGCATGTTAGCAAAAAATAAACACTGCCTTATTATAGGAATGAACAATGAGTTTCTCATAATTATCCCATGGCCAAATCTGACATCTAATTCTAACATATATCCTGAAGTAGTTTCTTTTTTCTTTTTCTTTTTTTTTTCTCTCAATCTTCACAATTACGAAGAGTTATACCTAAGTACTTTATAATTGGAACTGTTACACAGGAAATAGGCAGCACAGTTATTTCTTCAGACTCTTAAGAGATTTCACAATGGTCTTCATTCAGTTTCTAATTTGCTTTATAGGCTTTTGAAATTTTCACTACAAATGCAAGTTAAATTTATAATCTTTTTTTCTTCAAGCCAGTTTTTTTTTGGTCATTGACAGAAGGATTAGCCCAGGATAGTTAGGTTTGCCATTTTGTTTTTTAGACTATAGGTATTTTATTTAATAATTCCATTCTAGATGCACAGTGAGAAGAGCAAAATATTGTAGCATTACAGTAACATGAGGCTTGGGGCTCCTATTGTGTTTTTCAGTGATGTTACATAAAATTCTTGCCTTTCTGGACTTCCATACCCTTATCTATTAAAAGGTACTGCTAATACTAATAGCTGCCCTACCCAACAGAGTTATATATGAGAATATTATGAGACAGTGAGGGTAAAAGTGTTTTATAAACTCATAAGCACTATATAAAACAAATAGAAGATAAAATGAGTTGTTATCATGCCCATCCATTTGATGTTAAGGGAACTTATGCTTTAATATGTTGATAAGCATCTCCATATGGAATGGAATTTTAAAAGCTTTTCTCCAACTCTCCTTTACTCTATTGGTCAGCTTTTTCTTTTCATTTGTTAAAATATATGCCATTCCAGGTCAATTGTATTACAAAATAAATGCATAAAGTTCTTTTAAAGACACTGTCTTACTATGGAAAAGAAAGGATTTCCATAGGCCTTTTAGAAATTAAGATACTCAAATGATAACACCTGAAATTACAGTTATTTTGTACAATATATTTAGAACAGTTTTTTGACACATTAACATACCTTTACAGATTAAAATTCACAATGTTTTAACACATTTTCCCAACTCTTCACTGCCTATTTTTAAAAAGAGGAAGCTTAGGAAGAAGTAACCTCAAACCATCCAAGATTTAGCACAGTTCTTGTGAATGGTATAAATCTATAAGAAATGAAATAATATTTTAGGCTCTGAAATGTTTTACTCATTAAATACAGACCAGAATCATCAATTCAAATTGTTTTTTAATTTTTTTGAGAATTAAAATGTTTAATTGACCTATCATAGTTTTATCTTTTATTTCTTATTTTGCCCCAAATCTCTTGTCTGAAAATAGTTAACAAAATTTTTAATGGTATCATAGATGACGAACAGTTAAGTGATTTTTTAAATATTATTTATCAGCACTTCTGATAATCTTCAAAGGAAAAGGAGCAAGCTGATCGTTTTGTAAGTTAAATGAGCTATGAATGAGACCACAGTAGTAGCTAAATGTATCATCCATCTTTCAGTTCTAGCAAAATCTGTGAAGAGTCAGCAAGCCTCTTTCCCTGTGAAGCATATGTTCAGGCTGTGGTCTTTTGAGTCTTTCATTCTACTGACTTTTTGCTTTTTTTGGTAAGAAATATGATTTTTACTTTCAGAAGGCAGTTTTATTTGCCTGATGTTGAAAGAGTTAATCATCTAGTAATACAAAATTTAGTCACAGAGTACCACAAATAATGTACTTTTAGGATTCCCATAATAAAAAGGTACTAGTCGGAGAAACGGCTTCTATTTAATTAATTTATCAAGCTAGACTTCAGCAATTAATTTTTTATTATCAATATTTGTTTGCTTGAGTCTCTAGGATGCTATTCTACAATTAAGAATATTTATTGTACCTCCATAGCACTTTTTATGTCTTATTACTATTTAAATTTTTACACTTAATTTTATCATCTAGATTCCATTATTAACCCCATTGCACAGGAGCCAGGGCCAATTCCATATTCTTGTTTGATACACTTAACTGGCTTATTGGTACATTCCCTGAAATACTAGCTTTTGAGTATCCAGTAAACAAACGTCATGCAATTCCTTGTGCATCTCTGTGGACAGTATTTTTTCTTGGTACTTTTTATTCTTTGTAGGAGGCAAAGATTTTGTTTGTTTTTTAATTACCTGTACTACTTCTGAATACTGGCATATAATTAATGTGCATGTACTGTTTTAAGTAAGATCAAATCTTAATTTGAGAAGTTTCTTAACATTATTTTAAAATCCTAGGTAATGAGCCTAATTTTTCACTAGGTGGCAGTGTCTCCTCTGAATAAGTATTAACTTGAATGCATTTTAATCATAGTGTCTTGGGCAAGATAAATCTTAATTGAGCATCTATTGTGTGCCCAGTTGAGCTGAGCTATGAAACCCAGGAATCAAGCTCAGATGACCATATTCTTTTCTAATCCTTTGTGCTTTTTAAGTAGTTGGTTAAACCTCTGGAAGACTTTAGTCAAACTAAAAGGCAATTCTTTATGCCATTGACATGGCTTTATTAATAGAATCCATATTTATCAGTGGTCACCTACCTTGTCATTTTTGTAGCTTTTTGGTTCATACTGTGGCACTCTTTACCAGAGGTCAAGTAATATTACATTCCTATAAAATTTTTTAAATACGTGCACATCTCCTATGGCATTTATAACATCATGTATTTAACTTAGTACCTGGCATATTACTAACGTGCTGTAAATGTTCTCATTAAGAATTTCAAATCTTGTGCAAAGTCATTTCTCATTAAATTTTGTAAAAATACAGAATGAAGGTATCATCAGTTAGTAAGTTCAAAGCTTATAATAATAGTACTAGTTGCTAGTTGTAGAAGCTAACATTTATCAAGTATTTACTATGGGTCCACCACTCTTATGAGTATTTTCTCATAAACCCTTTGAGGTAGGTACCGTTATTGTCTACATTTTGTGCATAATTAAACTGAAACACAGGAAAAATTAAATAATTTTCCTAGGGTCACACAGTTGGTAGTGCAGCTACTGTTTGATTCCAAGCTGTTAGGCTCCAGAGCCCATGCTTCTAATGCATTAAGCTGTCAAAACTAGTTAGTTTGCTTTTCTTCATCAGGAAGTAATTTAAATGAAAAAGATAGCTAAAGGGCTGAGATGTAACTTAGTGGTAGAGTGCTT